TATGTTGTTGCTGCTGTGTGTATGCAATAATCACAAAGTTGCCAATTATTTGCAGGTCAATACAGATGCTGACGAGTCAATGAAGAAATTTGTTTTGGCATCTGTTGGAAAAAAATGGAGAGAGTGGAAGGCTAGAGTTAAACAAATGGGATATACGCCATTCGACAATGATGCTGATAGGTTAACTCATCGACCTGAAAGAGTACACGAGCATCAATGGCGGAGCTTAGTTTATTATTGGGGCACTCGGAAAGCACAGGTATTATTGAATTTTAAATTGTACTTTTACATGGGATTAGTGTTAAATTGTTTATTGAACTCTATTGTAATCTCATAAGATGAGTTTGTTAATTAATAAATTATCTTGTGTTTGTGTTCATATGTAATAGAAAAAAAGTACAAAAAACAAAGAAATTTGGAAGAAAAAGACATTAAATCACATAACCGGCAGAAAACCATTCTCAGTTGTTCGAGTAGAGGTATATAGTTTCTTTATATTTCAAATTGAAATTGTATATTTTGATTTTGTTACTTAGGCCTCGTTTGGGAACAGGCTAATTTAGTAACTTTTTGACTATTTGGCTAAAAAAATAAGTAAAAAAAACTTATATGTTTGGGATGACTTTTTCGCTAATTACGAAAAGATGTGCAAAAAATAAAGAGAAGGGAATTTTTGACTTTTTGGTAGGAGTTGTTGGCTTTTTGGTTAAAAGGGTAACTTTTTGGCTTTTTGGCTAAAAAAATAAGTCCCCAAATGGGGCCTTAATTTTAAGTGAAATTGTAGGAAACAAATAAGAAGAATGGAGTTCCAGTTACTCGCTTAGAGGTGTGGATGGCTGGGTACTTGAAGGATAACAAACCAAGTAATGATAAAGTTGTTGACTTCATGGTATGTAGCACCATTATTATAACATAGAACTAGCAACATAACATAGAACTCATGATCCTACATGGTACCCATCAGACCTAGGACGAGGTCATCATAATCATCAAGTTAGTACCTTTTATATGAAATTTTAGCATCTTTCTATGCTGCTCCGTTTTAGTCTTTAGATGTTGTCATGGCAGTTAAGTGGTCGTTATTATGTCTTGCTTGTAGGTTGAATTTTATTAGTGGCTAATTAACTAATT